TATGAATTTATCATTTTGCTCAATTTTTAATTTACATTTAATAAAAAAAAAATTTTTTGCTATAAATATAAAATTTTTTATATTTTTATAATTTTATTTATACAATAATATGGGCCAAATAGAAACAAACCGCGACTGCGCGACTCGTGACCCCCATGGGCTCGACCCGAATGAGTCAGCGGGCGGGCCTAGGTTGTATTCTAAAATTTGTGGGCCGACCCGAAACCTGTAGCGGGTGGGCTTTTTTTCACGCTGGCCGTTACCGGACTTATATGTTGACGGACCGACCCGACCCGACCCGACCCGGACCACTCGGATTGACACCTCTACACTGATAATTCCTTTTTGATATCAAGTTTTTCTGGACTAGCAGCTGCACCCAAACATTTGACCATTTTGACTTCCAGAAGGTCGGTGTACTCCTTTGGTTCCTTTATCTTCTGTTTTGGGCTTGCCCTACAACTATAGGAACCTGCCATTTTGTACCATTGAGAGTCCTTAATGAGCACACCAGTAGCTATGTAAAATATGTATACCACAAAGGAAGAAAATGAAACAATAAATGGAAGAGTGTAATGACGAAAGCTAGTTTTAGCCCTTGTTTGATAAAACTTCGCTAAAATTTTATCAACTTTTCAATTGGTCAAACTTCAATTTTAGCCACTCATTTCATGAGATTCACAAATTTTATCAACTTTTTTATTACACATTTCATTGACTTTTATTAAAATCTGCTAAAACTTTTCTTGAAATTTTTGTAACAACCCCTTATGTCCCATCTTTATTAATTTTTATTCCTCGTACTTTTAAACTTTCAATGTAGTCTGGTGGATGATTAAGACATGTAAATGTTTGCCTAGACATTGGACTAGACTATTGCCCAAGGTCATCTAGGCATTTCAAAAGCTTGTATAATAAAAAAAAAAAGGAAAAAGAAAGAAAAAGAGAAGGCGTTATTAAAATGTATATCCTGACTTTTTGGGCAGAAAATACCCCCACTTAATCAAGTAGTAGAATACTTCTTTGGTAATTTGAGTAATACATTACTACTACTTTTCAAAAAAGAAAGAAAAGTATAATATCATAATAATCTGTTATGTGCATTGACCAATCATGGTAAGGTAAACATTGTACAATGAGATACAGATTCCCACCCAAGTATCTGCGTACCAATTCCCACACAAGTATCTGTGTCCAAATTCTTAACATTAGTTTAGAAACCTTCTTATTCTCCTGAAATGTGCTTCTCTTGGATTCTCTTGCTTTGTTATATCAAAACGTGTACTAGCTATGTGAGAAGAAAAAGGCGATATTTTAATTTTGTGTCATATTTCTGTGGCATGCTTTTTTAACCATGTCCGGTTGATCGCTTTAAAGGAAATGTAGAATTCAAAGAATAAAAATATGTGCTCTTCGTTTTAGATTCAAATTTCAAAATCTTTCAGTCCTCTTTTTAGAATTCGCTGTGTATGTCTGAAACTTGGGGTTCTTTTCTCATGTTATATGCATTTTTCATAAAACAAGGTTGTTCATGTCTTTGCTACTGGAGAAAGATATATCACTATACGATTGAGATTAAAACTGGGGTTTGAGTTCAATACTAAGTATTTTATGCCTTGTGGAAGTTTGCATATAAAAAGCATGGGTAAACGAAATATATAATGTTGTATTACTTAATCAATTTCATTGTAGCTTTTCTGTACTAGTCAGAGTTGAACTTGTGTTGCACGTTATTATGAAATGCTTTATAAATGTTGTGAAAGTAATATTTGACTCTCCATTTACCCTTTGGATCCAAATATGAGAGAAATGCAAGTCTTTGAAAATTAATATTAATTATTAAACATGCACGTAAATAGTGAAATGCATATTTGAATGTGAGTATTAGAATTACAACTAAATGTATAAATGAAGATGAATGTCAAATACGATAAATAAATTAACGTGAATGTTAATTAATTTAGAATTAATACCAAGGAATATATACGTAACAATGAATAATAAATTATTTATATTAAATAAATATAATTTAACTTCCAATTAAGTGAAACTGAATACTAATTAGTATATATGGACGTGAATAATAAACTTCATCCTTGAATGTGAAATTCTAATTAATATTAATCAAATGAATCTAAATGTTAATCGAGGATTAATAACAGAGATATGGATGTGAATGTGAATATGAAATTCTAATTAATATTAATATTAATTAAATGAATGTGAATGTTAATTAATTGAGAATTAATTATAGTGTTTATTACAGTTTGTAAATTAAATACATATTGAAAAACGAAAAGTAAGATATTAAATTATAGTAAGGCTATAATCGTTCAAAAAATGATTCTCACTTAATGTATTATTTAATATATTATAGATAAGGTAGTTCTTCCCGATCACATTGTCTAGACCTTGTTTCTTCAGGTGGCAGAAAGGGCTTTATTTTTATGGAACAATGATCATATCGAGAATCTGATCAAACAAAATCGTAAAGTTAATTTGCCAATTATCTTCCCTACCTTAGAGAAGAATGCAAGAAACCACTGGAATCAGGCAGTTCAGAGCTTGACACTAAATGTTCAGAAGATCTTCTCTGATGCTGATTCCGAGCTCTTTGAGGAGTGTTTGCTTAAGTACCAAGAAGATGAAGCTCAAGAAGAAGAAATCAAAATAAAGCGTGAAGCCACTTCGAAGCAGTCCAAAGATATTGCTGCTGTGAAAGTTTCAAGTAATGAACCTGTGCTCGTGCCTCACAGGGTAAGCACAAGCCCATTGTCTGGCTAGAAACTGCAGGACCTTTGTTTGACCTATTACCGAATCAACTTGCCCATTGCGGTGCTGAACAAGAATACATAGCATGGAATTGGAGGTGAATCTATGAAATTGGAATTTGATATTTTGCTCAATAGCTCATATTCTTGTGGTTTTTGGCCCATCAACCAAACGTGGTGAAGGTCACTGCTTCCAACCATGTTTGGATTTTTGAGACAATGGTTGTACATATACATAATTTGGGTGACAAAGAACTGAAAGTTGAAGGTTTGCATTGCACTGTTACATTGAGGGAATTTGATGCTGATCTTGGCCTTTCTTGTTAGATCATAGAATAATATTGTTAAAATTAACAGTTTGCTGGATATTTTTGAACTGGATTTCATTTATGTACTCTAATCTCGAATTAGAAATTGTAATATATATATATATA